GTGCTTCTTAGTGCCAGCGATTCTGTTATGGCCAAAAAGGGCTTTAGAATTTGTGACTTGCTAGAGCCTCTGAGAGTGCGACTGAACCTCCTACCATTTGTGAGTGGTGGACACGTCTCTAAGGCAGATGCCGCACTCTCAGAGGAGATCGCGTCCCTTCAAATCCACGCCGAACGCCGAATACAGTGCATAAAATGTTTTCATATATTTGACACCGCTTTTCCGATTACGCTTGGCCCTCTTACAAACCAAGTGTGGACCATTTGTTGCACACTTTAAAATGTTCAATCTGCGCCGGTACAAACACAACATTAGTTTCAGTTAGTTTTGAGAGTTCAGGTCTTTGTTCTCTCTACAACATTGTCACAGAACCTTGATAAGTGTACAGATAAAAACGAAAAAATTATACTTTCTTGCATAAAACATTGCTACTTTTCTAGCAGCCTTCCTGTGTCGATTACTCTGTCATAAAAAAATGGAATTGCAACATCAAAATAAAATCTGTCCAGTTTCAACTTTCTCTCATCCCAGAAGGCTTGGTCAAACTTAACCATAGTAATAATCAGCCAAGAGCTGCTGAATACAATGAAGTGAGCCCATGAAAGCCCTGCACCGTACATCTCCCCCCTTACTTGATACTATGCACTTGAACTTTTCTTGAATTATGGCTTTCCGTCCACCATTGCGATGTAGAAGCAGGGGTCAGTGAGGTTAGTGCTTAGGGTAGTGGAGCGCTTTGTGCAAGGGCACTGCACCTCCAATACTCCAAACGGAATTTCTTTAAGTGCACAAAACACCTATCTGTCTGGTGCGGCACTAAACCAGAGGGACTGTGGTGGCACCAACAGTCTTGAAGCATGTGTCTGGGATTTGTATCTAAGAAGGTCCATCACCTTTTCGTAGCGCTCTACTGCTCGTGGCTCATTAGGAATCCGATACTTGATGGGGGCGGCGTGGATGATGTCCTTACGCCGCAACAAGTTGTTCAGCGATACATCACTCCAGGGCATTTTCCTGACACATATTTGCTGGAACACCGAGGCAGTTATCCTGAAACGACGACATTTCTTCCAAAGGCTGCATCGAGACTGCAGGTGTGTGCCCTTGGGATATATATTTTTAAATCTAATTTTAATACAAGCAGAAATCGAAACCGAAACTTTGGCTTTGTCTGGCAACATCGGCCTCGGGCCGCCAAGAACATGGCTATCACGTGGTATGAGATGCCACGTGATTCTTTACGCTATAACGAGCAGCATTGGTGTAGGCGTTTGAGAGGCTCAAGTGTAGCCTGCAAAACACTAAGGTTCACACGAGCACCGAGTCTTCTTAAATTTATTTACTGACTTAGTGATTTTCATAATAGCAGTAAGTTTATAACAGGAACTATGCATATTTTTATTAAAAAGTTAGTACTCCAAAAATAGCTACAACTGGTTGCATGTCTGCTCATTTGGGTAGACACATTTAACCCTCTACTGCATTACTTATATGGACAAAAAATTTATTCTGTGTAGGTTGTAAACGTATAGGCATTTTTTTAAAAAACATTTAATTCTCTGAAAATAGGAGATTTACTCCAAAATTAGGTGTGCACATTATATGACAGAAATGATATATGGGGCAAAAATTAGATTTTTTAAAGGCTGATACCTTCAAAAGATCACAAACAAGCCTATGAAATTCTGAAGTGAGTCGCATATTCAGAGCTTGCTGCGTTTGCAATCACTTTTGACAGGGGAGACCCTATCTTACCCACCATAGATAGCCAAGGATTTGTGCAGCAGTGCGACTTGGGAAACACAAAAAGAAAGTTGGCTTGGCCATTATTAACACTTAGAAGCTCAGGCTTATCAGGACAGCTAGCATCTTCATCGGGGAGCCAGCATCTTCATTAGGGTGGCCAGGATCTTTATCAGGATGGCCAGCATTCTCATCAGGACGGCCAGCATCTTCATCAAAATGGCCACCATTTTCGTCAGGATGGCCAGCACCCTCATCAGGATGGCCATCATTTTCATCTAAACCGCCAGCATCCTGAGCAGAGCAGCCAGCATCCTCGGCAGTGTCTGTATAGTATGCAGGGGTGGTCCAGCTGCGCCAGTTCCACCATCTTGATAAATGCGCCTTGCTGCGTGTAAAGACACAAATTGCGCCATAGTGCGCCAAAAAGAGCTAGTCGGTCCCTAAACGAATAATTTTTCTTTGGAAAAATGGCGTTTTTGACTGGCAACATTGTGGGTGTGGCAGGTTCGACTGGGGGCCCGGTGAAAAATAGCTTTCACCCAAGCAGCACAATTCCCTGGTTCAAGCTTGAGCCTGCTTGGGCAGCCGGGGAAAGTTTCCCCGGCCCAAGCACCATTTTGCTCCAAGGGGCAAGCTATCCCCAGCCTGTCTATCCACCCTGGCAGTTCAGTGGGGGTTCCTTGTCTAGCCAAGCTTGGCTCTATGGCGTCTGTACAGCCAGGCCCAGGCTGGCAGTTCAGTGGTCAGCCAAGCTTGGCAAAACGGTCTGAACGCAGCCTGGGCCATGCTGGCAGTTCAGTGGTCAGTCAAGCTTGGCAAAACTGTGTAAATACGGACTGGGCCAGTGTGGCAGTTCAGTGGTCGGCCAAGCTTGGCCAAACGGAGTAAATACAACCTGGGCCACGATGGCATTTCAGCAGTCAGCCAAGCTTAGCAATACGGTGAAAATTTAGCTCGGGCCAGGGTGGCAGTTCAATCGTCAGCCAATCTCAGCTGTACAGTAAAGCTCGGTCGATTTACCTGCACCGGTGCATAAAAGTGCAGGGTGGTGTGCTTTCAGTGGTATCTCAATACACACCAGAAGTACTGCCCTACACTTTTCTGCACCAGTGCAAAAGGTGCAGGTAAATTGAACGAGCTTAGTATAAACACGGTCCATTGCCAAGGACCCATTTCACTTAGCTGTGAGCAAACCTTACAAGCATCTGGGAGGCCCGATTTGTACCGTTTGATAAGCTTGCATTACATGAGTCTTTGCATCAAGAAATATGATAGTGGACAAAACCCATTTGCAATTACCTAGTTCAATTCGATTTTTCGCAATGTCCTCATGAGTTGCTAAATCGCAACAGAACAAAACCATTTAAAGTCTGCCATTTCAGTTTTGCTGCAAGTTTGTGGATGGAATGCACGAGAAAGAAGACTCAGAACAATGTTTTTTCTTTGATTTCTTTATTTTCAATTTTCGTTTTTGTCATGCTTGACATCACGTCTGTGAGCTGTTCAGGATGTCAGCGTGGACGTCAAAGTCACCCTCTGGCAGGCTGCTGGGCAGGACAGTGACGAATTGGGCTTGAGAGGATGGCCGCGTCTTGAATCTTCTTGGCCATCCTCTCAGCCCTGCCTCCCTCGCGATCCGGGGCCCCAGCCAAGTAGTCACCAATGGCACGCTCCACGTCGGCCACGTTGCCTCCCACTCGGCTCCGGATTATAGCTGGACAAAAAGAAAAAAAAAAAAAAACAGCAGAAGCGAATGTTATGCACGCCACAAAGCAAGTCACAAAATGCATTAGGGGCCTATAGAAACGGGGAAACTCTCGTGCAGTAATTTATTCCAAGTCGAGTTTAGGGCTGTTAAGAAAGAATTACCATATTTATTCAAAACAGGTTAACCATTTGCTGGAAACTGTTCTTTACCAGTAGGAGTTGATCTGTAATCATAACCAAACAAGGTCGACCTATAGACCTATGCGCTGTTTTAAACAAGCCTGCATTTGGCCACATTAAATGTAGGCACTGTGCATGCGTGGAAATGAGCTTCCTGTGAGGTGAAGCGTCTGTGCACGCACCATTTTGACAACAGTGTCACTGTGGTGGCGTGGCATCCAAGCCATGTGTTCGTCTACAAAGGCCTGTTCACACATACATCACAGCACCAACTCGGTGAAAAGCACCGACTTTGCACATGACCAGTGGTGTCACAAGAGGGAAGGGTGGGGGAGGGGGGGGAGTGCACGAGACGAGTGGCTTGCATGCTTTCGCATTCACAACTCGCAAGTGGGAAAGGGGGGGGGGGCACCACCTTACGTGCAGCGCTCGGGGGGGGTGTCATGGCGGGCCACGCAACCCTATAGTGACATCACTGCATATGACCCCACTTTTTCCTGCTCACACACACAATTCAGAGCCAACTTTAAGCATTGACAGCAGTGCTGAATGTTATTTCAACACCAATATTAATCTGCTAACTAACCTAAGAATAAGCTAATGTATGCCCCGTTTGAGAGAACCCAGACGCTGCTCTCACCAGCCACTGCAAAGCAATGAAGCTTCATGCACGCGCACCATGGGCAGTGCATGATTATGAACTCTGAGCTCCATGTGAAATTAAATTTGTGCGACCAGGGGACCTAAGCCGCTGTGAACGACAAAAGAGAGCATGCATGCTGGACAAAGAGATGAAGAGGCAAAATGAAAAAGAGGTGTAACAGTTGAAAAGGCAAGCATAAGAAACAGAATTAAAACAGGTAACCCCATGAGAGTTCGACAGGACTGCAGTTCCCGACTGTAACAGCCGAAATAGTTTTTAACTGGGAATGTATGAATGAGGCTCTACCGTATATACAAACAATACTTAAAATTGAAAGAATAAAATGTGGAGGACAAGCACAGGACAACCACATTCTTTCGTAATTGTCCTGTGTTTGTCCTTTGCGTTTTATTCTTTCAATCTTAAGTATTAATTTTCAACTCAGTGCAATTTGTTTAGAGTCCCTGAAAGATTAAGTTTTTCATAATCCAGATTCTATAGCAATACCACTAACATGGTGCATTACTTGAAACATCAGCTCACCGCCTAAGATCACTAGCCAGAAGGGAAAAGCCTCGACTTGATTAGAAAATCAGGGGAAATGACTAACCATGATGATAAAGAAAGTGCTTGCTTTATAAACACTTATTCAGGAATTATATGAAAATACTCTTGCCACTTTACGCGCACGTTTACAAACCACAAATTTTGCTTAAAACTGATCCAGTAATTCTTCAGATTCTTGGCAGCTGACGAATTAAAAGAAAAAAGTTCCCATCATTTTTAATTAGCAATGAAGGTGTGGAATGAAAACACCTTACCAACGGCCACGGCACAGAGCTGCGTGCCCCTGAACGGCTGCTTGTTGCCCCTGCGGCCGCAGATGCTGAAGTGCATCTGCACTTGCTTCCGTAGGAGCCGCTCCAGGGTGCGCCGCATAGCCTCTGCGATTGTGGTGCCACCCAGGCCGGAGAGCTGCTCCTTCTACACGAATAAAAAAAAAATAATATTGCGCTTTAAGAATCACAGTTCATTTAATATGAGTAAGATGAAAACTGACTATGGTATGGCATCCATCTCACCTAAGTGAAAAGGTAATGTGAAATTGCATTAACTCTGTTGACAGTATTTACTACACTTATATAAAAGAGAGTACGGAAGATCTAATGAAAATAAACCCTGAAGAAGGGAAGCAAGGGAAAAAAAGGACAAACACATATCTCGAAACACACCTAGCTGCATTTGGAGATTTGTGTTTGTCTTTTGTCGCCATACCTTTTCTCCAGAGTTACTACTGTTATTGTCCAGCTAGCTTCCACCTCTGCAATTATTGCATTATCATCATACTGAAGATCGATCCAGACTTTTACTGAAAGTAATTAATAGATCAGGTAATTGGCCCCTGCTGAGCTTCCCTCCTGTAACTGACTATAGTTAATATACTCAGTTTAGCAAACCTTCAGTTAAGCGAACTATTTCCTTGGGTCCCTTGAAGTTTGCTTAAGGGAGAGTTTATTGTATATGGCAGCCCAAAAAAAAATCCAATTTACAGAGAAGTTTGCCCATCAATTAAGTCTTAATTCACCGACCTTCAGGTTAGAATAACTATGATTAATAATTCCAATATAACCGCTAATGGCAGATTAACATGACGAACCGAATCGTGATTCTCATCCGCAGGCCGTGTACCATGCAACCGTCATGTCACAGATTCCTGCAATCCACGCATCGTCCGCAGACACATGGAGTAAAATGACCACTTTTCGCTTGCGGATTTTCGGTGGGCAATTGACTAGAAAAGTGTTTAGTCTGGCAATGGCACAATGTTTTCTTCAATTTCGAATGGTTAAAAGAAAGATGGTGCATCGTTGTGTTTCATGCATTTGTTGGTTCATATTGTCACGCAATTTTTGCTTTCACGTGTCGAAGAAGCTGCAGAAACTTTGACCGGCTAACATGGATTCTCCGGATTCATGTCAGAAGCTTCTGTCAAAGCTTGGCTAGCACGCTGTAATATGTTTTGCATGTCCCATCAGCCTTTGATTCAGCACGTCCCTTCTTGTGACTGCGGTCTACAGAAGTGTTGTGCACGAGCACAGTGTGTGAAAGCATCTCCAAATGCCCCTCCACGAGCCCCGGACTTTGTTGCTTCTACGCCGAAGCCTTCTCGAATAGGAGCATGCCTATGACACTGCAGTGATGTGTTTGGCCTAAGCCATTTTGTAGCACCTTCTGGAGCAGCCAAAACAGTGTTTTGGAGCAGCAAAAGTAAACTTTGGAGCAGCCAGAACAGTGTTTTGGAGCAGCAAAAGTGGCTTTTAGAGCCAGACATTCTTATAAAAATAAAAATATTTGTTTTAAGTGCTGGACAAACGAAGGGCTCTTTGTGCTGTGTTGTGACGGAACTCGCTGTTTGTGTTTTTACTGCTGAGGCATCCCACAAGCCTACAGTGTTGTAGGCGTTGCCGAGCAATTCCGAAAAAGAATGCTTGCCACCGTTTTACTGGCTCCCGACGTGCCAGATTCTCGTCAAAAGTAAGCAAAGGTAAAACAATGAACTGCAAGCGTTCCAACTGGTGCCTCTATTGTGCAGTCATATTCACATGCACGTGAGGGCAACTTCAGCAGGCTTGCAGTGGCACGTGCTTCGTCGCGCGAGCGGAGACAACGGCTCTTCAATCGAAACCGAAACAATGCCACTCCGCTCCGTCGCCAACTGGTTCCCAATATAGTATGCAAAATGTAACTGTCCAGCACACAAAAAAAAACAACAAAAAAACAGTCCAGCGGCGCGAGCTTGCCAGGCCGGCAGGCGAGGCAGAAGCTAAACACGCAGAAAAAAAAAAACCTGAGCACATCGATGCATGACATCGCGAGCTAAGGTCAAACATGTCGTGGAGCACTTTGTGCAATGACTTAACTCGAAACAAACAAGCGCGATGTGCGGGTCCAGCGTGCAGACATTGCTTCTTTGCTTTAGCTCACTTCTCTTTACCAACTTTCTTTTGCGGCAAATTTTTCACGAACCGGGGTCCCTCTCGAAAGAAAACCTACCGAGAGAAACCCAGGTAATCAATACTTCAACACAGCAGTCTTTGAGTTGAAGAGGGATTTTTGTAGTAGAGTATGATTTAAACAAGGGCAGGAATGTCGATGAACAAGTTTAGAAAGCGCCATATCTGCAGCGACGTGGGGATGGTAACACCCGACGTCGCGCGACCACGGTGACTGGTTGCGCGAGCGTTTCAGCTCACAAAGTAACTCTCGCCGCGCAAAAACGTTGTTTTGTTTCACAGCATGACGGAATGGCTGCCACCCGGTACACGAGCGTCAGAGCGTCCGCACACGCCCGCGTCTATTGTTGAAAACTTAAAAAAAAAAAAGACGCAAGAAGAGATTCTCGAGACCACATATACGGCTCTGCCGAGACGAGAAGGGCGTAAAATGCGAGACGGCGGGAAAATCCATGCAAGGGGGTTGGGGGGGGGGACCGGATGGACGATTGACGTAGGGTACTTTGTGTCGGGCGGCCGCTTGCGCCACCTAGCTCACGCATGCTCAATTACGGTTCTCAGTTTAGTTTTGGTTTTGAAAGACGACCGAAATTGGTCCTTTGGCACAGACTTGACGCAGATTACCCATATTTTGGCAAAATGTAGCAGGATGTAGCAGGGTTAGCCCCTTGGCGCAGTTTGACGCAATAGGAGCAGCAATCACATCACTGCACTGTCATGCCTAAGCTAAGACTGCGGCGGGAATTACGTGCCCGCTGAACCAATCAACTGGCTGCCTCTCATCCCCTGACCCCGCATTTTGTGCATGGGTATGGGCGGGAGCATTATTGCTGGCGAAAGAAAGGTGTATGAATGGTCCACCGAGGATGTAGTTTTCACAGCAGCCTATCACATAGTTCTGCCTTGCTCTGTAGTTGCAATTGCAAAAGGTTGGTCCAGAAACGCTTACCGAAACTCTAACAGAGCGAATACAGTACTTCGATCAAACGCACGCGCCCGCTCCGAGTGTGAACTCGTAGTTCAAACGTATCTTTTTTAACGTCTGCTCGCAGCTCGCGACTCGCAGCAACTAATACCGGCCGTGCCAGAAGCATGCTCGCGTCGTGCTGTGCAAAGAACCGCAACGATAACAAGCTCACTGTGGCCAACTACGCCAACTATGCGACTACCCTTTGGCTTTCTCCTCCAAGGCTTTACAAACGCGTTCAGGCCTAGGCTAATTCTGCCGGCACGCCATATTTCTGCTGAACGGCGCTGCTCCTATGCCACAGGTGATGTCACGAGAACTTTTACACCATCCACCAGATGTGAATTTGAAATCGTTTAATTCGGTTTAAAATTAGTTTTCCTGTGTTTTACAGCGCGATATTGATATTTCCGAGGGGGTGCCTGTCCCTAGCACATAATTATGCAAAAAGATTGGCGCTAAAATTTTGTTTCTGTACCCCTTTAATGTTCACATCAACTTGGCTCCTCGTGATTATAAAAATGTTTCTTTCAATTCTCGAAATTTGCATGGTGACCCCACAGGCAACCAGAGTGGAACTATAATGCAACCAACCAAAGGTCAAATCGATGTCCTTGTTGCCTTCTTCCCTTCATTTTATACTTTCCAGCGAGCACTGATTGCCCTTAATCATTCTATATGCCCCTGTTCTTGACTCAAAAGTATGTAGAGGTGTGAAAACAATAAGGCCATATCTTCAATCGTAATGCTGGCTTGATAAGTGGCTGTCTGTGACTAAATAGAGATAATGGTTAAGCTAACATTTTGGTAAAATTTAGACACGAAGCAGTTGAACATATGCCGTCGCTCCATTTCTCAAACCGATTGAGCCACAAGGCACTAACATATAGTGAAAAAAAGTTTGATATTCACCAGGACAGCCTGATCAGCAGGGTTGATGAGGCGCCTGTCTGCCGCCTCAAAATCTTCCATTGTCGCCAGCGGTAAAATAAAAACCGCTGGCGGCACTGGGGCATCAGGCGGGCAGTTCGTACGCTCAAGCTGAGCGATGCGCACTGCCAGCTGTTCCTGGTTTGCCAGGACCTGCGCCGTGTCCTGGCGGAGAAGGTGCACCTCGTGCTGCACATCCAGGAGCACCTTCAGAAGCTCCGACTGGAAGGCTAAAATAGAGGCAAAGAAAATTCTTGTGGTCAGAGATCTACAAAGGAAACGTGCTGGAAACAACACTTCACCTAAGATTAAAAAGAAAAAAAACAATGATAAAAAAAATTATAGCTCAAAAAAATATTTCCAAGCCTTATGCAATTGATGGCAGCAAATGTAGGCCGTCCTGCCAGTGGATCTTTCGTCGCACATATTGTTTACGTCCAAGCAATAAATTATACTTTGTTCCACCTTTCGAGAGACCAGAAACCTACAAATCATAGACGTGATTGTAGCTTCAAATTTAGCTACTTTAGAAATTCCAGCTCCAAATCTGTACCCGTTATCACCTCAAGGACCACAGTAAAAAAAAGTCCGGCTCCTAGCGGATCATTACTAATTTCCCCCTTTATGTAGAGAATTAAGATACATGCAGGCACATTTTACATCAAATATATATTATCTTATGGAGCCGTACACATTTCAAATGCCAAAAGCATTGCTGCCTCCTCTGACAACGAAATCGTATGAGAACTACTACTTGCAGCGTATGAGTAATGTGCAAAAGTTCATTTTTCTCTTGAGGTGAAAACGAGTATAGCTATATTTGAAAATGATATCCCCAAATTTAGCTACTCCCCCCCCCCCCCCCACCCCCCAACCACTCCCCTTGGCCAGTGACCATGGAAAGCACGGTCTGGGGGGGAGGTGAGGTTTGAGGGCAGCACTGTTGAAGGCCTAGGGTGGCAAAATGCTAAGTTCACCTCTCTTTACAAGACCTTCGGAAGGGGCACAGCGTCACTGAAGGTGCGCAGCCTCGTGATACGTTTGTGGCACTGGACTGGTGATTATGGTTTATAGCATCTACTACTGTCTTGTGTAAGGTGAAATAGAGCATAGGAAACAGCCTCATCACTCCACAAGATTTCAAAACAATAGGTAAGCTTCTTAAAACAAGCTAAACATTAGTCACTTTTCTTAATCAGGCACTAGTTTTTTTTTAGATATTTGAATAATAAAAATAAAACAGCTGTCACTGATAATAAAAATAAAACAGCTAGCTTGAACATGCAAATCAACCCAAGCTATGGGCACCAGGTTGCCCCACCTAGCCCAGAGTGGCGGAGGGGTTAAGGTCGCAGGTCTTTCTCCGCTGCCACTACTGCCGGCTAAATGGTGCCACCTGCTGCCCAATGTGTGTGCTTACCTGCACAGTCACCGACATTTTTCACTGATGTAAGCGATTGCTGGCATCATCTGTACAAAGTCTGCTTTGGGGTCCCTCAAGGCACTGATACCGACGGACGTTGGGGTTCCTTAAGATACTGATATCAATGCCACTGATAAAGAGGTCGCAACCGTTGGACATATGGAAAACTATTTTATCTCAGAGTTGATGAAATGACATGTCGCAACTAGGATGCTTTCATGTACGCTTTGCTCATTTTGGCAATACTTGCACTTTCATAACGATTTTGTTTATTTTTTGCTTAGGAGCATGAGAGGTCTTCAATTTGTGATTCTGGAGTATGATCATTTGTATACAGAGTATTGCCATAACTGCAGACTTATGGCAAGGCCACGTCGAGGCATGTCCAACACTCCTGTTTCGGTGTAAGCACCGAGTGCCTGACTTGGGCCCCAAACCGTTTATTTAACAAGACCCCCGCCGCTGCCACCTGTCGGTGCCACAGTGCAACTGCCATCATGACAAGCATCAATGTTCAAAAGGCAGAACTGGTCTCATGCAAAGCTAGAAGTATGAACAGATAGGTTTCAAAGGTGCCCCTGCTGCACGAGGATTCATACAGCCAAGGCACATTTTCTAAAGCGGGAAGGCTTGCCATTCACGTTAAGGTTTCAAAGGTGCTTCTGCTGCACAAGGATTCATGCAGCCAAGGCCTATTTCTAAAGCAAGGGGACTTGCAATTCATGTTGAAGTGAGATTATGTAGATATCAGCAATGACCGGTTCATGTAAAGATGTCAAACATGTTGTTCTTAACAGGTAATCAAACATCTCATTCTTGAAATGTAAAACAGAGCATTATGAGTGATAGGCAGGTTTTGTTTTGGTGGTCGAACTATATCGAGAGTATGGGCATTTAATGCCATACTAAGGCATTGGAAAAATGAAATGTACAGATATGATTGTGCCAGTCTTCTAAACTTGGTCAGGTCAATATTAAGCAGTGATCGTAATGAAACATCTGGTATGCTTACGGGACATGGTAGCCTCAACCACCTCAGCTGCCTCCAAATTCCGCCTTCTGGGGGCTTGCCGCTCTGCCAGGGTTGTGGTAAAGTATGTTTTAGTCTCGGATGAAGGTCTTTCAACTCGTCACACAAGTCATTCACACTTTTCAGCAACTACATATCAGCCATTTTGGCACAGCCAGTGTCCCTCTCTGCCCAACATCTCAAGGGCAGTCAATGTCAAGAAATCTGACAGATACGCTTCAAATCCACATCTTTTTGGGAGGCAACGTATGTTTGTCAGCTCCACTTCCAAAATGAGCATAAGGTGTCCAAAGCTTAAACCTGGTGACTTCTTTTATAAACGGTTTTCGAGGCAAGCAAAAAATTTTATAAATGACCGGAGGCAGCAGATTGGAGGCGACAGCAAATTTTCTGCAGTCTGCCAAAATGTGAAACGTGTCACTACAAATGCCGGTATAGACAGCCTTTTTAAAGGGATGCTGAAATGAAAATTAAAATATACTTCTCACGTTAAGAAAGAAGTTAAATGTAATCACTGAAGTCAGCTAATGACAATCACACATTAGTTTTTTTAACAGATGGTTATATTTTTCGTTCCAAACAGCCAATTCCAGCAAGCACTCCAAACAGCCAATTCCATCGAGAGCAGCCGTCGGAGAGCACTATGCTTCTTGAGAAATCCAGCACCTACAGCGCGCTCGTGATGTAAAGTTTCACTTCGTGGGCAAGGCTACAAGGAGGCTGGTGTGGTTGTGAACTGTGCCACTTGGTAGTGTCAACATATGTTACAATCTGGCGGTTCAAGAGGCCCACTTCCCGCAGAAGTTGAATAGGCACGGGAGAGAAGGGAAGTTTGGTTCCGCCAAGGGAGAGAAGGGAAGTTCAGTTCCGCCAAGTTTAACAGTCTATGCACGCTCAGAGCTTAGCACAATACCTCTAGGGAGTGGCACTGCTTTTATGTGAAGTTTTACTTAACATTCGGAAGCATCCACCAGGTGTAATCTGGTAATAAACTTTTTTTTTTTTTTCGTTTTAAAAAGTGTTTTGGTGTCAATTGAAACTAAAAATTGGCATCTTTGTGGTGTGGCCAAAATGTGCTTGGTATTTAAACCATAAAATAGACTCTAGGCATTTCACTGCAGTACCCCTTCAAAGGGATGCTGAACCGAAATTTTGATTCCACAAAACACGCGGCAAAATTGTGCAATGGGATGCTACAAACACCCAAAACACCACTCATACAGCGATATCTTGAACGGATGACCAAATTTTTCAAGAAAAGGAGGCGCATTTGACAGAGATGATGTCGTCATGTTTCTCCGAGAAGGAGAGGGAACGGCCTCGCGTCTTCTCTGCCTCACAGCCTTGAGGGAGCGAAGTGGAGAGAGGAGGAAACTCGGTATAGTGATGTCACGCGCCTCGTCGGCCTCGTTCAATCTGGACCTCTTTTTCCAAAAATACGGCCATCCATTCGAGACATCGCCTTACGAGTAGTGGTGTAGGGATTGTAGCGTCCCACCTACATTTCCTGCATTGTTCTTTCTGAAATCCAAATTTCGGTTCACCATCCCTTTAAACTAATAACACTGGCTGTATCAGACGGTGGACAAGGGGAAACATCTCAGCTGTCTCATTTATGCTCATCAAATCATTAATTCCAACAGTTACAATTGTTACAAGAACCTTACATGCAGAATGAAAGAGGTATAGCAGCTCAAGAGTGAAGCCACTGATCTCAGACAATTAGCTGGATCGCGCATCCCCGCTTGGTTGCTGTAGCACAAATGCGGCCACCGCACAGTCACCTTGCCACAAAAAAATCTACCTTTTAGAGCGCAGCTAGGGTGGGCGGCAGCGTGCTGAAGACACGTTTTCTGCTTACTTATTGTCATTCGTCTTAGAAGTTGTTTAAAACCTGGCGTAAATGGTGACCTTCGTTGGCCTTCGAGAACATGAGCAAATTTGTACAAAAGCCCAGCACCACAGGAGAAAAGCACAACTCCTTGAAAGCAAGTCTAGCCGGTCTAGCGGCATGATCGAAATTTCCTTGGTATGCCAAACTGCTGCATCTCTGTGCCTTCACACACGTGGATAGCGATCAAGAATCGTCGCCGTGTTGATGTGTTTTGCATGTGCAACGTGCGTGAAAATCTACGTGCCTCTGGAGCAGCGTTTTACTTTACTGTGGTGACTGTAGTGTCGAGACCGGTTATAACAAAATAGCGGCTACATCAAAGCGATCTCGATTTCCCATTCCCTTTCACACTTCGTTAGCCTAAGTCAGTTATAACGAAATAGCGGATATAGCGAAGTGATTTTCGATTCCCGCTGACTTCGTTATAACCGGTCTCGACGGCATTTGCAAATTGCGGCGTTCGTGGTCCAGAGAAGTCTGATGCCGTGGCGACGGACAAAGGGGGGCGGCGGCGGTGGTTGAAGGGAGGCTTTCTTGTGGGCACTTACCGAGCTGGTGGAATTCATGAGTAATCGCATGAGCTTACGATAGAGCAGTTTGCAGTAAGTATATATGCAATTATTTTATTAAACAAAATAAAGTGTGCTATTTGAGGCATTCAGCAGTTCCAATGAACGCAACACTTCATGCTTGTTTTATAATGAAGCACATAAAAAAAAATTCCGGGTTAGACTCTTTACTGACCCATGAAAATTACAGTATGAATGTTACTGGATCTTATGATTAGGCCTGCGCTGTGCTCTATAAACCGCCTTGCCTGGCGGTGAAATCTGATCTTTGAGTAGCACCAAGCTGTTAGCTTGACCGGTATCCAAGGATGCGAAGGCACAGAGATGCAGCACTTCGGCGTGCCAAGGAAGCTTTGATCACATTGCGACACCGACAAGACTTGCACTTGACGAGTTGTACCTTTTTCCTGCAGTGCTGTGCTTTCGTAAAACTTTCCACGCGTTCTTAAAGGTAATTGTCACTGGTTACACCATGTTTTAAAAAAAATTCTCCGGCAAATGATAACGAACGAGCAGAAACATATCTTCAGCACGCTACCGCCCAGCCTCGCTGCGCTCCAAAAGGTTGATTACCTGTGGCACGATGGCCAACCGGTGGCCGCATTCGAATAGCGGGGAAGCGCAATCCAGCAATTATCATAGAGATCAGTGGGCGAAGCAGATTAATGCTAGCCACAGTTTGTTGAACATTTAAAAAATAGCTGATAACCTTGTATGTGATATCTCTAGAAATACAAACAAGCGGGTTAAATATACAACTTTCCTATGTCAGTCTAGATCATCTGTGAATCGTTTGAAAGAGCCGACTGTGAAACTTACGAGATGTAGGAGCCCGACTTTCCTTGGACCACCCCTTACTGGATGGAGGGTCTGGGGCCCTGGATGGAGGGTCTGGGGCCCTGCGCTTGGGAGGGGCTGGAGAAAAGTATCACAATTTACTTTCCACATGGGCAATTATGGCTTGGCCAGAGTGCCCGTTTTCTTTCTAAAATCTTAGACAACTTTTATCTACTCGTTTAGAATGCAATGCAATGCAAAAAGCATGAACCCCCCCCCCTTTTTTTCTTGCTGCCATAGTGCCAAAATGGAACATCAGAAAGGTTTAGGCGTGATTGTAAAACAAACTCTCTTTAATTTCATAAATTATTGTTTCCTTATATTCACATAAAAGAGGAATTTTGTATCCACGAGCATCTTTCAAATACCAAAATCTTAAAATCCCAATTCAAATTAGCTGTTTTCTAAAGTCAAATGGAGGAATCACTTTTTACAGTTCTAGATAGGTTTGAACCTTCATGAATAACGTGTAGATTCTCATGTGTAAAACATGTGGAAATAAAGCAAGAACACTTACCCCTTGCACAGGCACCTCCCAGGCCAGTAGCTGCAAAATCAATGTCAAGTGTAAATACATTGTCAGTGTCTCTCGCAAGGTAAAAAAAGATGAAATATATTTTTCTTCACTGTAGGCTAACTCACGTGGAATGGGCACTGAGAGACGCACAGGAGCGTAGGCCGTGTTGTCTTTCCCAGTGGCTAGAACAGACATATTATCAGAATAAAATTAGGTTAAACAAAGAACCATTTCTTCTGCTGAAAATGTTAAATTGCTACGATCAACATACCTCCATCATCGGGCTCCCCGACATCCGTGCTTTCCAAGCACGAGTTCTCGAGCCCCTCGGTGGCCTTCCTTTTGGCCTTCTTGTATGTTTCTTTAAGAGAAAGCAAATTGATACAGAACCACTAATTATTTAGCTCGTGCAAAACCTGGTTTACAATACTGCAATGCCAACCCATAACAGAGCAAAAAATCACTACACCAATTTACAATTTTCTAGATATGGTTCATTTCACAGCTTACAATACCAAAAGGATATATTATTGTAGTGTTCTGCCGGGAAACCGGCATTTGGGGGCAATGCCTGATAGCACCACTCTTTCGAGATCAGCATTTGTAAAGGCTTCAAATACTTTTTTTTTTATGTACAGCACAGTGTGGTGTCTGCTGCTAGCATGAGAAGTGCACTGTTGCTTGCATCATTCTGAAATTTAATGCAAAGGCCCCATATGCAGTCATGGTCAGAAGAAATGCAAAACACCTGCAGCTGCACAATCAGTTGTCGCGATTCCACAAACATCTATACTGAGCAAAATTAACTATGGCTCAAAAAGCAGCAATGCCGAGAGAATAAACACCCATGACTGAAGCACTTAGTAGTGTATTTGGGTTTATGTGTTGAGAAAATGACTGAGAGAATAAGACGAGAGCTCACAGGGACGTCAGAACACTAAACTCTGGTTGGAATGATTAGTGGTAGAAATAAAGCTAGCTGTTTTTATCTCCACTGCACTCATCAAACGTGTTTGAATTTGAAAGCCCAATGCCGGACGCTGGCATTCCCATTCTGATGTGTTCGACGAGTGCAGTTGAGACAAAGATAGCTAGCTTTAGACCTACGCATCAATCATTCCAACCAGAGTTCAGCGTTTTGACATCCCCATCCAACCTCGTCTTCTCCTCTCACTCAGGTTTTCGCCGCATAAGGTGACACTTGCATTTGTAGGGCGAGTGCAACTTTGAAATGGCATGCACTAGGAGCAGCCGAAGCAACTTTAGCTGCTGCTTGCGAGCTTCAAATCTGTCCATTGTATGTAAAGCCCCATTCACGCACTTGCATTTGACTACGAATGACTGAGACACGACCAGTTTTTTAGCCTCTTGCGACTGCCTACGACCGGCTGCCATTGCTGGACTGCCGGTCATAGGCCTTCGCAAGAAGCTTAAAAAATCAGTCTTGTCTCAGTCGGTCCTAGTCAAATGCATCTGTGTGTTAACGGGTTTTCATAAGACCTATAAGCGGGAACATGTAAACGTGTGTCACTCAATACAGACATGGCAACCTAGCAAGTGCTACGCTCCCTTTCGTGCGTGTGCAGTGCAAGACTACGGCTTTTTGAAGAACAGAGATACTCCAGGCTCACGCTCGTTTCCTACACTGGCTGCTGACAGTGCTATGGCAACTGTGAGGGAAAATGTGCACGTAAAAGCGCTGCTCTATCGCCACATGATACATATTTTTGACTATGAAATTTCAATTGCAATCATACTCCCAGAGAGCTCGCATTTCATTACCAGTCAAGTTTCTGATGCTGCTGTCAGGTTCGATGGGCTAGCTCAACACCATCTAAAATAATCAAAGCACCTGCACTAGCATTTCAAAGTCATCACAGTGAGATCGAGCACTGAAACAGATCAAGTGCTGCATCTTTCATGTCATTGTGATAATGCTCCGAGCTACTCTTTCCTTTCTGTAATCAGAAGCCATATGATTTGTTTCATCTGTCTATATTTATGGTTGCACCAATAAATGGGGGATTCTTGGTCACTCCCGAATGGCTCTCTGGTTGTCTGACCTGTCTGAGACGTCATCTTTGATTGTGTCTGCGGGTTTGTCGGGCTGTGAAGGCTCTGGTGCTGGACGAGGATTCCAGTCTACGTCCGGCAGTAAGACCAGGGACGTAGTCTTCCGCAGGAATCGTCGTCAGCCGATCCTACTGCCGGATGTGGCTGGTGCTCACACACCAGCCACGTCAGGCCATTCGGCCACTTCCAGCCACGTCGGGAATAATAAGCACAAGTGGGTGTTCCCTTCTGGCTTTAACTCAAAGCAGTCATATGATGAATACAAGCTTGCCGTCGTCCGTCAACAAACCATTGGAATGCTACGTTTTTGGCGTCGATGTGTGTCCCCGTTCTCTTTTCTATGTTGCAATTTTTGCTTCTATGTCCTCCTGGCAAAGTCAGACTACTTTAGCAGCCTAAGCAAAATTAACTAGGCTTGTTTCACTGCATGTGGCGATTCATTCCGCGTAGATGCCGCAGAATGGACGCTAAAGCCTGATTCGCAGAATGAGATTCTGCTTGCTATTTTCAGTCATTACGTCGCTCCAGCTGCAAAAGCATGAACTGTAGCGGAGATGGTTGACATTGATACGAAAAATTGCAAGCAGAATCAGTGCAAGTGAATGAGACATAACAAGTCGGTGATGGCAACTAGTAACAATTATCAACATCTTGTATCTACTGTTTACACTGAGCCTGCTTACCTTGACCAACCTTCAAAATTAAAGGTCTTTTGAAGGCCTGCGCTTACTCCATATTGCAATTCTCTCGTGACACATACTAGTATTTTCAAATTTTTAGATAGTATCGGCCTTCTACACCGATTGTAGCTTTCTTAACCTACAGATCATGCCCATCACCCTTTTACCTTTTGGTACCCCATTACCATCTTTTATCTAATCACTGGCTACTAAAGCCTCTTTTTTCTCCAAACGTTTTCCAGCAATAGTCTCGTTTTTGGCGCTCTATGGCCTTAGTAGCTTTTGCGCCATAAACACCAAATCAACCAACCAACCAACCTTCTGTTACCGATGCTCTTCGAACTTCTCCTTGTTCCTCAAGCGTAGTAGTCATGAAGCGCACGCTTGACGGCAGAAATCCCTGCTGAAGTCTGTCCTGGACTTTCGTCTGCAGCTGGTTTAGGACTTTGTGAACTTCGATGGCAGTCTTCGAGTCTCCTTCGATCTGCAGCACAGTCGCTTGAAACATGGCAGCTTGGCTGTGCAGGAAGTAGAGCCAGAGCTCTCCGCATGCATCTTCAAAAAATGTCTTGATCAAAGAGAGGCACTTTTCTGCCGACAAAAAGAATGACTTCAAAGCAGGGAAGAGTGTCAGCACCCTCTCAACAGCTGGCATCAATGCCAACCACCTGGTCTTACTGTAGCCTAGGAGCCGCTGGTACTCCACTGATGCGAAGTCGCAAAACTCCTTGAACGACTCTACCCTGACTGTATAGATGTAAAAGTATGAATATATCTTGACGATCACAGCTTCAATGTCAGTTGGGAGGCAGTCAGCTGCAGTCTTAATGGTGTTGTGGACTATGTACGCTTCACAGCCAATCCCAATGAGCTTGTGAGTTGAGGCGTCTTGCATTCTTGCGAAGACGTTGTTCTTTCCGTTCCGTGCGGAACCACCAAAGTTGCAGTTGGTGTTGTCGGCGCTGAAAGCAACCAGCTTCGATGTGATGTCGTTGGCTTCCAGTGGGGGGGGGGGGGGTGCTCATGAGGTACTGGCTCACCATGATCGAAGTCTCACCTGGCAATGTTTCGATCTCAAGCAGCTTCGTTTGCACTCCAACAGCAGAGCTGGAGTAGGGAACCATTATTGGAAACACTTTCAGATCATTGTGGTTCGACGCATCACAGAAAACAGATGAACTGAGCGTCCTGGAGGTCGGCCTTCAACTCTTCTGCTGCAGAAGGAGCGAGCACGTTCAAGGCGACCGCTTCGGCTTTCGTGCGCGCACAGGCAAACTTCTCGTTGAAAAGTTTCTGCAGGAGTTTTGAGGTGCAGTCCATTGACCGAAAGCTTTGGTTGTGGGCAATCGTGTGGAACGCGAACACACCCTCAGAAGCGGCGAGTTTTAACTCCTTGTCCCCAGCGTGTTCCGGCCTGAAGAACTTCGTCAGTGCACTGGAAGAGGCAGCAGCTGACAGGTTCCGCTTGTGCTTCTCGGTACTGATATGCTTCACGATGTCAGAGCGTCCACTGTGGGCGATAGAAAAGTCTCCTCCGCATTTATCGCAGCAAACATCGGACTCCGACCTTGTCTTCTTTATGAACAGGAACTCCTTCCCCAGCGCCTCTTTGAACTTGCACTTCTGCTTGAGCATTGTCGTCTATAGCGCGATAATGGGCGTTAAAAACAAAGACAGTGTGCTGCCATCGAATAACCGTAATCAAACTCGTTGAGCGTGACGAAGTGACGACGTCCGCGCATGGCGGATGCAGCTGTGGGGATGGTGCGGGGTCGAACGGGATTATGGGGAAAAAGTGGTCTGACAAACGTGCTACAAAACTCAAATGTTTTTTTTTTCCTAGTTCAGCGCAGCAGTTATCGCAGCAGTTTGGTTCTTCACTCTGAAAGTGAGACACAGCTGTCGAAATTATCTTCATTCCTCGTCGCAAAAACACTCGAAGGTGTTGTCGGAAAGGAGTTTAAAGCCAAGAAAATGCCATCGGGTGACCTACTCGTCGAAATCGCATCAAGTGAGCAGAGTGCTGCTCTCCTTGCCTTGAGGACTGTAGCTGACCACGAAGTAACGGTCACACCTCGCCGCACCTTAAACTCCATCCAAAGAATTATCTCCTAGAATGATCTGCTTGAGACCACTGACACCGAAATAGTTGACGGCCTTTCTGATCAAGGAGTTATTGCTGGAAGGTGCATCTCTTTGCGTCGTGATGGTCAAGAACGTAAAACCAAGCACATAGTTTTAACTTTCCAATCCACCACACTTCCCGACGCGGTGAAGGCTGGGTACCTGCACTGGAGGGTTCGGCCCTATGTTCCAAACCCTTGGAGATGTTTCAACTGCCAAAGGTTTGGCCACGGCTCTCAGAACTGCCGTGGTAAGGCCACTTGTGCCAAGTGTGGGAAAAATGACTACGCTGCAGATACTTGCTATAATGAAGCCCACTGTGTAAACTGTAGCGATCCACACCCCACGTATTCGAGATCTTGCAAGACATGGAAAGTGGAGAAAAAAGTACTTACCTTGAAGGTCAAAGAAAACCTCTCCTACCCGGAAGCGCGCCGTCGCTTTGCGTTCTTGCGCAAGGGTGGCTATGCACAGGTGGTGCAGCGGAGACCTGCACAGGTGGTGCAGCGGGGACCTGCACAGGTGGTGCAGCGAAGACCTGCACCACTGAAGGTCGCGGTGGCAACCCAGCCGTCCTTTCTGGACTATGGGAAACCACGACAGTCCCGCACGCCCCAGCTGGAGATTCAATTTCTAGGGCGTGCAATCTCGGCTGGTGGGTCTGCTGACGCTCCCAGCCAAAGCGCAAACACTCATGCTCCTGCGGGAAAATGGCCTCAGCCCTCTCACGTAGAGGGTACGCAGGCTGCTTCCCAAGCTCAGGATGGGCCGGCGGCTGTGGCAACCATCCCTCCTCAGCGATCTCCTTCCAGGGAGAAGGGTCGACACTCTCGCCCACACTCCCTGGAGAGAGCATCATCGAGGGAGCGGCATGGCTCTCGTGCCGCTCCTGCAGCACCTAAGGGGCAGGGACGGGTGCACTTGGGTGATTTTCTGCCCAGCACCTCCTCCGCCCATTTGACTGGGGCTGGTCGTGGACAGGGCATAGTGCCCCATCCTCCGAGCCTGCCCACACCAGCAGCAAAGGCCTTGCCTCAAAAAGTAGAGGCAATGGACGAGGGCACGGAAGTCTCCATTCATGCGTCTGACCAAGACGACATGGACTGGCAGAGTCCTAAAAGTAAACAGAAGAACAAAAAAACCTGTCATCCCCCCAAAGTGATGTGTTGATCTATTGTTGCTATGAGTGGCAGATTTGTAAGTTTTTATGTATTCCCTTCTAGTATTACAAGGTCAACAACGTTTTACCGTTTTAATTTAATTTTTTTTTTATTATTTTGTTTTTAGAGGCATGACTAAATTTCATTTTATGCAGTGGAACTGCTGCGGTCTTTCACGTAATATTGACGATGTTAATTTTTTTATAGACAATTTACGTCCTATTGTTCTCTCTTTACAAGAGACACACCTCAATGATCATCATAAGTCAATATTGTGCCGCCATCAAGCTTTTAGAAAAGATTGCGCTGCATCTAATTCATCCGGTGGAGTAGCTGTGGTTGTCCAGAATGGAGTCGCCTGCTCTCACGTTCCTCCGGCTACGCCTCTTTAAGCTGTGGCTGTACGACTTTTTTTGGACCGCCTTATTACTGTCGTTTCTATTTATATTCCAGCCAACACTTCACTGCATCTTCATGATCTTCAACGGCATGTTACGCAGCTTCCTCATTCATTTTTACTGTTAGGAGATTTTAATGCTCACCACCCTCTGTGGGGTAGCGCCCGTCAGGACTCACATGGTGGGGTAATTGAGCGATTTTTATTATCTTCTGGGCTGTGCCTTATGAATACGAGAGAGCCAACCTTTTTTAGTGCTGCTCACAACTCATTTACATCCATTGACCTTTCAATTTCATCCCCTCACTGTTTTCTATGTTTACTTGGAAAGTTTTAAATAACCCCTTTGGGAGCGACCACTTTCCAGTTGTTTTGGAGAGTCAGGTTTCTATTCCAAGCCTCCTGAAACGCAGTCCACGTTGGAAACTGGAAAAGGCAGACTGGGGTCTTTTTAGCCTAAACTCGGAGCTCAAACCTTGCATGTTCTTGCCATTAACACATCATGAAGCCACCACATACATTACAGATCAGATCATAAATGCTGCCTTTAGCTCCATCCCTCAGACTTCATGTAACATGGCAAAAAGATGTAAGCCATGGTGGAATAAAGAATGTTCTGCCACTAAGAAAAAACAGGATAAGGCTTGGGGTACATTTGGGAGATATCCAACATCTGTGAATTCGCCTTTAGCACCGTAATCGCAGTCACTAAACGCTTGTGCTCGATTGAGAGAAACTACATTCGGTGCAGAACGTAGTTTTCTTCCTGCTCTGGACAGTGACACTAAATTTGATGGATGTATTTTCGCCCACAAAATTGTATTTAATTATAATTCTATTTGAAATACACACGTTTTAGTAATTAAATACACACGTCAAATACATTACCCAATTTGTAATTAAATACAAATGCAAAATACACAAAGTATTTGAAATACATATTTCAAATACTTTTACTTGAAATTCTGCCCATCCCTGATATGGAGTATCTGGCCGATTTCTTTATTGCATACAGAACTTCCTGTGTGGACGCACTTTCCGTGTCCGGCTAGGCACTAGATTATCTCATTTGTATGTTCAAGAAGACGGTGTTCCTCAGGGCGGGCGGATTCCTGAGTGTCACTCTCTTCGCCGTAAAAATGAATTATCTCTGTCAGGTCATACCTTCTTCCGTGTCATACTCCCTGTATGTGAATGATATTCAGATTTCTGTGGCATCTTGTAATATGTCTAGCTGTGAAAGGCAGCTGCAGCTAACCATAAATAAAATGACTGAATGGACAAATGGAAATAGTTTTAAGTTCTCTTCAGAAAAAACAATCTGTGTCCCCTTTTCTCTGTGGCGTGGGCTTCGGTTAGATCCGATTCTCAATTTAAATGGAAATAGCATTGCAGTAAGACCAGAGCATAAGTTCCTCGGAGTGATTTTCGACCGTAATCTTAGCTTTGTATCTCACCTCAAGTGGCTGAAGCAAAAGTGTATGCAGACTATGAATATCCTAAAAGTTCTTTCTCACAAGTCTTGGGGCTCCGATAAAAGATGTCTGCTTCGTCTCTATTCCTCTCTCGTATGATCACGTCTTGATTATGGCGCTATTGTGTATACATCTGCTCGGCCATCTGCATTGAAGATGCTTGATCCAGTGCACCAACTTGGGTTGCGTATAGCAAGTGGTGCTTTTCAAACATCCCCTATCCCAAGCTTGTATGTTGACTCTAATGAAATGTCACTCGAGAAAAGGCGGCAGCTCTTTAGTCTAGTCTATGTTTTTACAAAGTTTTATCTGATTCTAGTCATCCAGCTCACACTTATATCCGAGAGTCGTACCTTTGCCCACAAGCCAACTGTTGTTGGACCCCTGAGTCTTCATTTTAAGAACCTTCGTGTCTCTCTTGGCCTGCCTCGTAAAAAGGTCTACTTCATACAAAGTGCATGTCATATTGCCCCATGGGATATCAAGCCTGTAGCTTGTGATTGGTACTTCACAAAATTTAATAAACATAATGTCTCCCCACTCATTTTACAACAAGAATTCCTTGCACTGCAAGAAAAGTACAAGAATTATCATCAATTTTACACTGACGGAGCTAAGTCCTCAACATATGTAGGCTCTGCTGTTCATTCTAATTTGTTTACACATGTGACACGGCTAAGTAATGTTGCTAGCATTTTTACTGCCGAGCTATATGGCATGCTGTCGGCACTTGACTATATTATCCGGAGCAAAGTGATGAAAGCAGTTCTTTTTGTGGACGCTCTGAGCGTTGTTACTGCAGCGTGTTCACTTAATCCAACCAAGAACAAGTTGACTCAACTTGTACGTGCTAAAATTCAACTGGGCCTCGGAAATGGGAAGGATATTAGGTTTTGTTGGATCCCGAGCCATGTGGGCATTGCAGGCAACGAGGCTGCAGATAGGCTGGCTGCCTCGTCGCGTAACCT